ACTTCCTAATGCACAACAGAAAGCCCAGCTGCTTCCTCGCATCAGTTTGGGGGAACTCCACTGGGTGTCAAGTAAGGAGAACTTCACCTAAAATTCAGTTCAACTGAAGGAAAGTCCCAGACAGATCATGAATGTCACCTGGGAGAAAATACCCAGAGATTCCCAGCCAAGTTCACAGCACCTACAGTTCTCCGATGGATGTTTCTTTTCCATTTTGAAGCTCAAGTAGAAACAAGGAAGCAAACAATCCTGTAAATGGCATTGGACTGGCTGCTAACTGAAAAGATTTGTTAGCAATTTGGAAGTGTGGCTTATAAGAGCAGGCATTACACCAATTTTTGCCATTAGAGAACCAGTGTTGGAGATGGGTGCCTGCCTCGGTGCCCAAGTAACGATAATGTGAAAAGATAAATCAGCAGTGCTCCAAGGATAGTCAGAGCCAGTCTCGCTCACTCCCTCTAGTTTGTGCTCACAGGAGCTGGTGGGAGCGGACAGGAATACTCCCCAGAGGAGGAGGGAATTAATGGAGCCTCTGCCTCCAATTGGCTGAGGATGGGCGGCTTCCAACTGTCAGGAATCTCTCTCCCACTGACTTAAGTTCACAGTTGTTTAGGCTTTCCACCCACCCCTCAACAAATATGGAAGCATCTCATGAGTTCATTAATAGGGAACTGAGTAGGTTGTAGGATGATGGAATACTTGGTAGCCATAAAAACTCGGTTCTACTTGCAAATAAACACACACTCCCTCATACTAAATGAAGTGCTGTCTTTGATGACATAAAATAATGTCTCAGTGCATCACACACAAAAAATATAGCATTAAATTATAATTTTAAAGGAATAAATATATGCATTTTGAATAAAATATATAGTATCTGCAATATAAAAATTGCTAAGGTATTCAATTCATTATTAACATTGTGAAATATTAGAATTTCTTTTCCAATTCTATTTCAAAGATCTATAGCTCCAGCTCTTACATTTACTTGAATAATCTATACCGAACTAGCTCTTTCATGTGTATACTGTGAGGAAAAGAAACTATTATTTTTCTTTCCAGTTGATATTTTGTTGTCCCAGCACCATTTGTACTGACATACTTTTATTTCCTCCATTGAATCACCTTGGTGCCTATTTTGAAAATGATTAACTATGTACGCCTGTTTCCAAACTCTCCATTCTGTTCCACTGGTTTGTCTCCCATTATACCCCTATCTCACCACTGGACCAACAGACAGCAACGTGCTAAATGGAGAAAAGGAAGAAGTTGTCAAG